TGACATCTGACATAGCATGGTCAATTCCAAGCATTTAAAATCTGAAAAGAGCACTCAAAATACCAGAAAGATTGACTAGTATAAAAAATCAATAAGCTAAATTATTTCCAAATCAAAATAATATTCCATCTTATTTTTCATTCTTTGAGGAGGTGCTCTGTTAACTATGGTGCCTTGAAGCTTACTCTGACCATGACAAAATGAAGATCCACTTTCACATATTGATATACCTCCAGAAGCTGAGGCATTGCAAAAGGCAATAGTGCTGTGTTAGTTCCCTGGCTGACTGCCCTTCTGTGCTCACCAAGCCTTCTTCAATCTATCCTCTCTAACTGGGTACCCGTGAGACTAACAGCGCCATACTTTTAAGGGATTTTTTTTCCCACTATTACCCCTATCTCCAAAGTGCAAATTTCTCCTTAAGCAGGTGTCTCCTTCGTAAGTCAAAAGCTGAAAACTCCAACAGTGTCTTCCTCATGATTAGGGAGATGTGGATTTCTCTCCTGCCTTCCAGAAAGACTCCATTCCTCTTTTCATTTTCAAATTATCTGTTGGTTAATGAGCAGCACCTCAGGCTGTCAATCTCTGAAGAGGCACAGTGTCACAGGGATGGAATATCTGTCTCTACGTATTTAATCACACAATGCAATTTTAATCAACATGCTAGAAAGCCCACATGAAAATAGAGGACAGATCATGCTACAGTTAAATAGTGATTTTGGTGTTGAGATAAAAAATGGATATTAATGTTCATGTTGCAAAAGAAAAGTGTACTTCACAGTACATAAATTAAATATATAAAGTTTGTTATTTTATAATACATCTGTCTGCATATTTTAGAGTATTGTTCTGTTTTATTACATTTCTGATCAAGACTAATGTTCATTAAAAAATCTAATATGACAATGAAAAATTTTATATAGAAAATTCTTGTCCTCTATTACAATTGCTATCTGCTCCACATTTTGGAAACCACAGCAAATTAGACTTGGGCCATGGTAATCTTAATTATATCTTGAAATAGATGATGTTGGAAATATATTGAATAAACTCTTTTGGTGAGATTGCCTTTGCCTCTTAATTTAAAATCTCTATGTTCATATTCTTGCATTATTTAAATTACAAAAGGCAGGCATCTGAAAAACGGGATGCTTTGTTGGGCAGTCATATTCATGAAAATTCATTCAATTGTGAGAGGGGTCAAAAAAACAGGGGAGAAAAAAAATGCTTGCTGATCAAAATGTAACATAAGCTGCACCATTCCATTTAAGTAGCAAAATGCATAGACTAAAAAAGTTGCATATGATCTCAAAATTGTATTTCTATGAATTTGTCATACTTTTAGCTAGAGAGCAGTTGTAACCCAATGTTTTACTTTTTTTATTTGAAGAAGACAAGAAATAGGGGCCATTTTAATAGGTGACACAAGCACTCTGCATATCATGTGGCTGTTGTGAAGTTGACAGATGAGAACATCCCCAGATTCAACACCCTTTTTTTCCTCCAAAGTTGTATCAAAGTGAAATATTGACTCTGCACTCAACTAAAAACTTGACCACGGTTTTATCTCATCTCATTTAGCCTATAAGAAGCATGAAACAGACCACGACACAGCAAAATGGGTCAGCTGCTACCAAGGTCACTTTGCAAGGTGACTGCTGGCATCAAAGCATCATCTGGGTGCTAAATGTCTTGCAGCATTCCCTGAGTGGGGGAACTTGCAGAGTTGCTCCAAGAAAAGTGGTGAGGACATCTGCACATTTAGTGCAAGTGATGCAACTGGCAAGTTCAGCTGTGTCACACGCAACAAGACACAATAAAAGGGGATTCTTGACATTAAGCACTGCCATGGGCTACATGAAGGACACTGTTTCACTCCCATGGCATTACTGCCCCTTGATTAAGGATGTGTTCAAGCAACACCTAGAAGAAGGGTCCCAGAGCAGTGATGCAGAATGTGCTCAGGCCTCTCTGTATAGCAGCCCTGTGAAGAGCCAACAAGCTGTTAGTGGGCACTTGAGGGCATGTTAGGCTGCTGGAATATGTTTCGTGAACTGCTTAATAAAAATTGTAAATTAATCATCTGTTCCAACTGAGTATGAAGTTTGCAATCTACGGGTGACATGCTGAACCACAAACCAAACTATATTGAGCAAAGCTGTCTAATCTTCTACCTCCAATGTAGAGGTTTTCATAATCTCTTCATGGAATCAACAGCGTTAGGCAATTTTGCATGTCTTCTTTTCTTTCCTCCTTTCACTGAATTCCCTTGAAAGACTGAAGTACACCTTATTATGTACTCTGTAAAAATATTTTTCTCTAACCAATCACTATCTCCTTTAACTTCTTAAGGTAATTACACTTCCAGAGACATCTGCCCATGCCATCTTTATGATTATGTTTCCTTGAAGACATTCAGTATTCTACAACTGAAACAGCAACTACCCTGTTTAGTCAACCCACTAACAAACTGGCAAAAGAGGTTATGGTGGAGGCTAAACCCCATAATGCCACTGAGCCTAATCAGACAAGTGAGGTTCTCAACTGTTCAACTCTTCCTTCAATCAGACTCAAAGAGACCAGCCAATGCTACTCAGATCAAAGAAAAACATTTTGAAACTGTGGATTTCTAGGCTTTCTTCTCTAATCTCAGAGCACAGTGCTAAGCTTTAGATGAAACTATGCCTTGATCAGACTGGCTAAAGGAAAATCTTCAACACCTGCTTCTGTTCACCTCGTCATGTTAGACATCAGTGACATTCACCCTTGCAAAAAGAAAAAGTGGTCTCAGGCTCAAAATCTTTGGGTAATTAAGAGGTCTGTACAGGTGCAAGGGTGTACCGCCACGATGTGACTTGGAGCAGGTGTTGCTGTTAGTGAGGTGACAACCTTCTCCGGACCACCAGTAAATCTAGAGCTCATGTGGCATCTCTGACTGACACTTGACTCAGATGAACTACCAGATAAGGTCAGTAGCAATCACAGCTCCACCACAACATTAAGGAATAGAGATCATTGTCATAAGGACACTTTTAGGCATAACGTGCTTGCTCCCCTGTCCTGATGACATTTCATCCGTCCTGTTTAGAAACTATTTAGATATGTTGGTATTCAAAAAGAAATTATTATATCTTGTGACACAAAATGGAAATTCCCTTTCTCTTTATATAAAAATCTGTATATTTCATTATATCTTAAAGTTTCTTACCCTTTAATAGAAATATTTAGCATTTTGTTTAAAAATCAGGCATTCATTTTAATTTTTATGAAATTAATTTTTGGAAATATATTCCTGAAATTGAGCACCTTTAATCCTCCCTGCAATGAAATTTAGCTTTGACTTCATAGAGGGCTTTTTATTTTATTAGACTTTCCAATTAATGAAAATATTTGGATTTGCAACAGGACAATCAGGAACCAGAAGTAAGCAGTGATTGATGCTAGCCTTGATGATGTTCTCTATTTTTTTATATTACAAAAACAACAGAAGACAGGGAAGCACAATTGCATCATGACTTTAAATTTGGGCATAAACATTTTTTTTTCCATTTCTAATTTTTTCCTAGGGAGAATAAAGGGAAAGAATAAAGCTAATGGCTCTATATCAGGGCCAATATGAAAAATGTAAAAATTAATTGCAAACCGATACAGAAGAGTTTTGAAAGACTTACCTAAAATGTGGACCTAAATATTTGCTTAGTATATACTTTAGCATAAGTAGCCCAAATGTTCGAGGTGTGCAACTAGAAATACTCTGTGGAAAGACATATAAAATGTTAGTCTGTCACAGACTGACAGACATCCTTGAGGTAAAAACAGACCTGCCAAGTATACAAATATAACCAAGAGCTATAAAAAGTTTTCTTACATTCTGAGAAGGTTAAATTTTCTGTTGCAGAAGATTCCTGGAGCTCAGTAAATCCCTTTGCTCACTTTCAGAATTCTTTAGTCGGGAGAAATTCTTGACAGTGATTATAACTGAAAGCTAGTTCATCTCTCTGTAAGATATACACTCCTGATTTGCCTACTGGAGCTGCTTTTAAAGCTGATTTACGGAAATCCTTGAAGAAGAGTCTGTCAGCACTTCATAGCATTAAAAGTGTAGGGGGTTTTCCATATTTTCTGCATTGTAGGTTGAAAAAAAAATTGTCTTCTGTTCCCTAAAATCATAAACATCCTACGCCCCACCCAGTATTCATGAGTAAAAGTTTCCTTCATCTAGGGTAATCAGCCACTGACACAAGTTCCTCAGAGGGACCTGAAGACCTCCAGCATTCAATAAATGGAATCTCCTCTTCCTCCCGTGGCAGCTTTGCCCTGCAGCTCTTCACTCCACAGTAGAGCCTATGGGGGCAAAAGCAAGCAGCCCAAAACACTGTGTTACTACCACCACCCAATTGAAAACAACCTCCAACCACAACTCTATTCAAAATCTACTCAAAGGGACATGCAACTAAACATAATTTCCATGGCTGAGGAGACACTGGTTATCTAAAAAAATATATTGTAAACAGTGTTTCTAAAGTTATCAAAGTCTTTGTCCACAAAATAAATAACTACACATAGATTTGCCTAAATAATAATACACTAGAGCAATGTAAGGCAGTGATTTGTTAACTTATCCCTGTCCAGAAAAAAAGAAAGGCTGTTGAACATATGGTTCATTTTAAACACAGATGGAATTAAACATGTGCTTCAGTTCTTTTCTGAGTCAGAACTAAAAATTGAAAACCATACCTATGTATACTTTGCTATGTTACAGCAGAATCAACTACAGTGTTGCCATCATATTCTTTCATATGATTTCAATATCCTGCTTGAGTAGGGGGGTTGGATTACATGTCCTCCAGAGGTCTCTTCCAACCTCAGCCATTCTGTGATGCTGTGAATACTGTAGAGATGGAAGTATGTTAGTTATATACTTATTCATAATGTAAGCAATATAAAGCATTCTCATTGTTTGAGTAAATAGCAAAAAAATTTACCAAAAGGCAAATGTGTCATTTGGATCATTCATTTTTCTTTATTAAGCTTTGATGAAAAACAGTCCATTTGAAATATTTTCAGCAACCATTTCAATTCCAAATGCTCAACACAAAAACTTGGTATCAGAGTTCAAACATATAAAGTTACACCTCATTATAATTTAATATTTAAAAAAGCTAATCATTTCTGATTTTTCATAATTAAGTTTAAAAAAATAATGTTACATTTATAAAATAAATCAGCTTTTCCCAATAAATTACAGTGGTGTTCTTATTCCAAAATGTAATATATCATACAAAATAGATAACAACGTTTTGTCAGACAAAACACTAAAGTATATCTTTCCTCCAGTACATTTTGGCAGTGTGTGAAATTATTTTATTGTACACTTGATATCTAAAGTACAGTGTGAAAAATAAATCCATTGAACTATTATGCATATCTCTTATATAAGGCAAGGGTAGCCAACTTGGGGACTACTTTTTATTTCCAGTTAAATGTTTTTAGTCAGACCAATACTGCCACATTTATGCAACTAACTTCATTAATCTGACCCATTAAATTCATGTAGATCCACCTTGAGTCCAACACTCTTTCTATGACAAGTACACAAAAGTGAGCCCAATCAGTAAACTTTTGGGCTGCTCAGTATCTCTCACACATGCTTTACCTCTGTGTTTCACCATAAAGTGTTGGTGGTGAACTTGTAAAAATAGCACATTCTGGACACCCCTAAAGTTAATGGCAAAACTTCAGAACCTTATTCTGTCATAAAAACTCATGCTAAAAGGAACTTGTAAAAAGAGCAATGCCTTGATAAAAAAAAACAAACAGTAAACAGCAAAAAGAAAAACCATCCATAAAGCAAAAGGCAAATGTTAAGAGCCACTGCATGGACTTTACAAAAGCAACTACTTTAAAATAACAAGAAACACAGCATCTACCTGGTAGTAGTGTATTCTCATTAAAGCCTTTTGAATGTTCAGGTTAGCTCAGCATTTAATATGTCACATTTCCTGCCTACAAAAATGTATTTGAAGAATCACTGCAGATTGTTTGAGCAACTTTTACAAGCCAGAGGTGTAACTCCCCCATCTTTAGATGTTGTGATTAGTGAAGGTGTTGTTCAGCACGATCAGCATCTCACCTTGCAGAAATTCTGACTCAGAATTTCTGACTGACTATTTTCTCTTTGGAATAGTTCAGTAAACTGCAATATTTTATTATATCTTTTTCATCTGTTTCTCTCTTACATATCTTCTGAGAAGAAAGTCTGCTTTAAAGTACTAAAGAAAAATCATTGCTGTCTGGAATAAATAAAATGTGCAAAGTGGTAATTTTCTTATGATGTCAGTATTGTAGGAACAACATATCACTTAATATATTAGATTATTTTCACAAATTGTAACTGAGTATACATGCCCAAGTGAGCATGTGTCACAAGGTCCACTTTGTGCAAATCCACAGAGGGTTCAAATCCAGATGAGTTGTTATAGACTTCAGACAAAAAACTTAGTCAATGTTGGATCCTCCCAAACTGTAATGGGAGGAAAAGGAGGTGGGGGTTCATCACAGAAAATTGATTCATCCCAAGCTTCTGAAAACTCTTAAAAATTGAGAGGATGAATACTTTGTGGGCTGGCTGTCTTCTGGCTTGAAATACCATGGCTCAAACTAGGAACACCTGGAGCTGAACTCAGGCACATTTGCCACTTCAATTAGCTATACCTTTCCAGACAGAGCTGCTACATTAACTACAACATCTCTGTAGGTGAAGTTTAGTGATTGCTGAAACATGCATTCACCAGCCAGTTAGGTAAATAAACCCAAAGGCTACACTTACACAAGTAAATCAAACAGCACAAAGTCTATACTCCATTTCTGAGGTCAAATGGCACAATCTGTCTGTATTCCTCTCTGCCCCCTAAAGAGGGGGGCTGTATTCCAAGCACCTGGTGAAAAGTGTCCATAGACTGGCCTAATTCCTAAAGTGTGCCCATAAATTTTTGGGGAGGGTACTAGTTAGTCCTGACCAAAAAGCATACCAGTCCTTGTTTTAACTATTTAGCAATGTAAATGCCTTGGCACTATCCAATTGACAGATATAGGCATTACTACCTATACAGATTTTAAAAAGCCCTCAAGCATATTCACCCACGGCAGGCCCTCTGACTCATACAAACAGATGAGCAGGAAGGATTCAACACTTTTACTTGAAAGAGATGGTCCTTTCAAATCAATATTTTTTTAAATGAGTTGTGCATTTCCGTCCTTTTTTTTTAATTCATGTGCTTTTTTGGTAGCCTACTGGTTTACTATTAGTGGAACTTTGGCTTTTGCCTGATTAACCCACTTTTTCTTCTCTACAATTCACAGCTAAACAAGCACTAACCAGTTCGGTCACAAAAAATATATATATATACACATCTAAAACGATAATATTAAGACAATAACTAAAACAGGAAATAAAAACATGAATCTGTGCAGTTATAAGATCTAAAAATAATATGAACCTCTATACATATTTGTCAGACTTCAGTGTCCACAGTTACAGTTGTATGTGGCAGTCAGAACAGCATTACTTTTCAGATCATGAGGTGTTTAAAGGAACACCCACAGCAGTGGCTGCTGAGGAAATAATTTCATTTATCAACCTGAGATTTTAAATGTGCAAGTGTCCTACCAATTTATCTAGTGCATAAAAAGGAAGGAAGGAAGGAAGGAGGGAAGGAAGGAAGGAGGGAAGGAAGGAAGGAAGGAAGGGTGGATTAAGACAGAGACAGAAACATCATCACAATGGTTTTTGTTTCAAAATAGACTGCTGTGCAATGACTGAAGCCTGATTTGCAGACATTTTGTATTCTTGCCCAGAGCCTTGAGGAGGGGAAGGTAATGGAGTTTCTGGAGTTGCTGAAAAAGAACACAGAAAGAATTTATAGTCTGGCCTACCCTGCGTATGCATACTACTGCACTGAAAGGGAGTTCGGTTACATTTGACATGTTAGGGAAATAGGATATTTTAATTATCTGAATTTTTAGTTTATTAAAAATTCTGCATGTAAAAACAATAATATATCAGAATGGTGCTGAATTTTTAAAATTAGATTAAATTCAGGTCAAAGTCTCTTATTTAACACCATTTATCTACATACATTTTTAATGCACAATTATTTTAATTTAAGAATGATGATGAAATAACTCTATGAGCACTGACAGGCCACCACTCTAATTAATATTTTTAAATGAAACAGTGAAATCTTATGACAGAAGGCTAACTTGCAATTACTTACAAATCTGTTCCGTATGTACAGGAGCAGACATTGAACTTATGAGGATTGTTTGGCCAGTTAATGGATCTTGGGCTAAGTGAGGATGCATTGGGTGATGCAGATGACTGGCATCATTAGAAGTACCTGCAAAAATAACATGTGCATATATCAATTCAAAAGAACATGCTGTTGCCAGCAACTAATACTTCAGTAATTACATTTCCACAGAGCAAATATTTTGATTGGCAATTTGAATAATTGCCTCTGGGTATTCATTAAACAATCATACCAGACTTCAACCATATTAAGCACTGTGTTTATTTTCACTGTTTTGACTGCAATAACAGTGGATTTCATGAAATATTTGTAAGGATTCTTTCATCTGCGAAGGGAATTGTAGGACGACCCAGCAGTGACTGAGTACACGGCACAGTCTGTCGTAAGATTAAGTTAACAAGATGAACTGCCAAGACAAGAAAGCTTTAGCTAACAATTACACGACCCAAAGCTCAGACAGTGAGTCAGCATGGTTGATTACATCACGAATCCCTCAAGATCCCAGCATGCTAAATTCAACATAATACAACACAGTATATTTAGCAAATTGTTAGTTTACCTCCTAGTAACATCTCCTGAAGCAAACTGTCAATTTTAACAATTCCAAATAGTTTAACCAATTGTATTTGCTCAATCATTTGCCAAGTGATGCTCTGGAGTGTAGGCAGTAGAAGAAGTAGTTCTCCAAATCTTCCTCTGGAGTCATACTGACGGTCATTAATATAATCCTCTAAACTGATTTGGACTTGGAACCGCATATTCTTAATCTTCATTGGGTTACTCAGGCCTTTTGCATCTTAAAAAATGACAAAAATTTAAAGTCAAGGCAGATTATGATTTGGAAGGAGCATCTTACTTATATTTTTCATTTGATTCTTTTCCATTCATGAACAGATTCTACATTAACAAAAATTACTTTGAGTAATTCTTCCATGTGTAAAAAATTCTGAGAGATTTTTTTGTAAAAATACCTGGATCAAAAAACACAATTGCTTTCAAGCAAGCGTACTCATTGTCGTCTATTTGAATTTCCTGGAAGGGTCGAACTAATTCATCCAGAATGCGATTTGCCACTCGGCAGATCTCTACTTCAGTACTGTTGCGATGGATTATGTAATTGTTGCCTTAGAGAGAAAGAATACCAACAAGTGGATTAATATAAAGATTTTGATGTAACACATGAGATGAAGCCCATTCTCAAAAGCACATTTCAGGTTAATAATTTTTTTAAGTAATAACTCTCCTTTCCATTATACAAAAGTGTTCTTTCCAAACAGAGTATATGTGCAAATTATAGCTGTCACCCAGTAAAAAAATCTGTACATGTAAATATGCCAACATGTACAGTTCCTGATTAGTCCACAGAACTGAGATTCATGTTTGAATGCACAAGTATGGAGTAAGTAGGCCTTTATCTTTACATAACAGATAAATATAATAGTGAATTGATCTTAAAATGTCTTCTTCCCCAATTAAAATAATACATCCCAAGCTGAATGAAGGATTTGTCAATACATAGGAGAAGATAAGGGGAATGCTTCTTTTTCTAATAGGTGCTCCTCTTACTCCTGATAAAATTTAGCAGCATCATAAAATCTTCAGTATAGAAATAATTTTCCCTCTTTCTTTAATTTTAAATTTCCATTTTGGAGAAGTCTGCACCATGGCATCTTAATTCACCTCCTGGAGAACACTGGCAAATTCGCAGAGCTTTCAAAAGCCATCAAAGCAGTTTTTGAAAGAAAAGCTGATGATTATGTCACAAGGGATCCATGCCAAAATGACTCATAAACTTTACAGATACCTGCCTCCAAGTACCAGAAATAAGCCCTAAAGCCTCAAATCGTTCTTCTTTTGATACATATGCTGATGCTCATGACACTGAATATAACTTTCTGCTTATTATTTTTTCATTTTTTTTCTTATTACCTACTAATCCCAATAAAACTGTAAATATTCCTTTTTTATTTAAGTTTGTCAGTGAAACAGTATCTAGAGAAAGAACTACATAAAGAAAGCCATGTGTATAGCTTTTATCTTGAAAGGATTGGTGGTGAAATACCTTCAGACCAAGCCCTTCTTGTCCTTTTAATGTTATAATAGGTGTAAAAATAAATTCAAGATGATTTAGAGCTGCGAAAAGACTGTCCCAAAGAGGGAGAAGAACAAGTATTAAAAATGTCCTTGTTCCACACCACCAGTGAAGAGACTAGTTTGAGTCCATATTCCATATAGTCTTGCCTCACATCAAAAATCCTGTCCAAGATGACCTACACGCTTTCTCATAAAGCAGCCCAAATGCTGCACGTTTCATGTTCGGCAGAGTACGCTTCAGAGTGGCAGAGCCCTGTTTCAAACAATGCTAACAAATGCCTCATCAAGTCCCTACTCACACAGGCACACACCCCATCTGGTAACTGAGCCTCTCTGTTGCATGAACTAAGATAAGACATGCTTCCACCATGCAACAATGTCTTTTTCCCTAACAGCTATGTTCTCTTTATATAACCCAGTGCAGGAGCCCTTTCAAGTGACCAAGAATATGCTTCTGCAGGCATGACTCCTCACCGTGCCATGGATGCACCCATCTACCACATGTCAGGGACAGCAGGTGAGCTGTTTACATGATGGCCATGTGGTGACTGTCAAGGCAGCAGTGAGAGGGCTCTTGGGAAAGTGAGTTGAAGGGAACAGGCTATCCGATATTCTAGCCAGTAGAGTCTTCTCTGACTGTGTCTGAAGGACTCTTGAGAAAGCTCCAGATAAATGGTTTTCATGAAAACTGAAATTAGTACACGTGAAAACAGGTTGGCTGCTGCTCTCTTAAACAAAGGGGGGTTTATGACAGGGCTTTTTGTTGTTTTCTTCTGGTTTTTTTAAGGGATAAAGGTGTAGAAAGGATGCTAATGTAAGGAGACAATTGCCAGGAACTCCCTTAAGTTTTGGTTTGTAGCATCCAATATTAGCTCACCTATCCATCTGCTTTTGCTGTAACAGACATGTGACATTATGTCATTAATAGCTATTTAACATTCAGAGAATGCATTGCTTTGATTGTGCCAGAACAGTTGTCTCACTTAAGTGATTACATGGTTGCTAATGTACATCATCATTAATAAGTAAAACAAAACCAATATTTACCTAAAAGTAAAATGTCCTTATACGCCATGGACCGTTTTGCTGCTCCAAGCAACAGGTGTTCCCCAGCATGTGCTCTTAGCAGGGCAACCTCATGAAAAGAACAGCAGACTCAATAAATGATAAAGCAGTAAGTTCCAATAAGAGTAAAAGAAAAGAGGTTGCATATTACCATGTATTAGGTACATGTTTAAGACAATTAAGATTTTAATATAAAAATCTTAACACCATAAAAACAGCACTCTATAATTAAATCGTCATTCTCTGTCACTTCTAGCATTCGGTCCAGATTTTAAACATTAGGCTCTGCAAAATACTTATCAATAAATACACTATCTACCTTTAGTGTGTATTCCCTTGCAAAGTTTTCTCTATCATTTAAGTTGACGCTAAAGACTCCAGTGGGCTGGAATGAACTGCTACAGTGAATTTGGCACTATCAGTGTTTCATTTCTCTCAACTTGAACCAAAAATTTATGTGGTGCTTAAAAGAGCTTTTTCTACAACAAAGCCAGATATGCTAAAACAGCCACTACTGTCAACAAAGAAGAATCCTGGTTCATACTGGGAAGGCACTTGTACTTATTTGTTTACTCTTTGTCATCTATTTACTTTCCTTTGGTTTTAATGTCTTCTTGAAACTTCAGCAATGGTCTCTATTTCCTCAAGGAACTTGTCTCTTGGCAAGTAATTCTAATACAAGCCAATACTTTATGAGTAAACAGTACCTAGGTACACTTATCTGTTAAGACTTTTTTCATTCTCAGTTAGTTAACTTAGCTGCTCTGGCCTCCTTTATGGTTTGGAAATCAGGCTGACTCCCAGATCAGGAATAATTTGTTCAAAACCAGATGTTTTATTTCATTACTAAATGCACAATGCTCCTTAGAAATTTGCTATCACAAATGAAAAAGTGGTATTTGCTTTATCTCTCAATATCTTTGTCCCTATTTTTCTAAGCTACTTAAGGTTCAGGAGTTTTTCCCAACATGTACTCTTCAATCACTGTAAGGATGTTTTCAGCCTGTCCTTCTAAGATGATAATTTATTTTTTTATATGCAGACAGGAACTTTTTAATGACATCTTATACCTTCCCTTTTCCTTCATGCCATCTTAACAGTAAAAGCAGCAATATTTTTTTCTTGTTTTTGTTGCCCTTGTGTAAACAATTCACTTAAAATTCTCCTTCTTTCACATGAACAGAGTTTTAACTTATTCCAGGATGTTGAGCTTGTGCACATATATCATACTCTGTGGGTCTGCAAAGATATCATTAAACTCCTGTTTTGAGGGGTCTCTTGTGGTCTGAAACATGTTCATATTCCTGAGGAAGAATATAAGAGGGAATGACTCAATTTGAGTATCAAAACCAAGGATGAATCTAACGCTTCTTGCAGGATTTTGTTAAAAACTGAGAGACTGAAGAGACAAAAAGGAGGATTTACAAAATTGCAGTCACAGAGTGATTTTCAAGATGTATGAGATTTTGGTGGACTGTAGTTGAGAGATCTCAAGCAACCAATTAACCTCCTGCCCAGGCTGCTGGTGAAAGAACTGCTCACCACAATGTGGGAATACTGGTTCTGGGTGTGCCAACACAACTTACTCTGAAAGCGGGTGATATATTAGGATATATTATAGATGTGATGATAGATCAGACCTCTGTCGTAAAAACCCTTGTAAATTTTCAAGGCTTGATGCTTTTTTCCTCACATTCATTATATACAATATAATTTTAGTACATTGTAATATATGAAAGATTATGTGCTATGGATTGATACCAGTACGTTTGGAATTTGTTCAAGATTCTAATGGCTTTTATTTTTTTCAAGTAGAGAAGCCCTGCTTCTAATTAACATGCTGCCATATTATAATGAAAGGTGAACATGAAATAAATACTTATCAAGGTCAGAAAAAAGTTCTGCTTCCAAAAGACTACAGAAAAAACAAAACGCTTAGAGACATGCTGATTTGCTGCTTCTTTTTGTTAATATCTTTTATGTGGTGGTGTTATTTCAAAACTTAAAAAAAAAAAAAAAGGTGTGGGTCTAGCATGCAGATCTATTTGATCAGACCAAAAAAATCATGACATTCAAAGATCATGGGAGTAACAGAACAGTATAATTAAAGTTTTCTCTTTGGTGTCCTCTTATACCTGGTCATCCAGTGGTAATTCACAGAAGCCTGGAATATATTTAGCCCATTCCACCAGGACCAGAAGTTGTTGCTTCATAGATTCACAGACATCACTGACACCAGCAATTTTCTTAACATTTATATCAGTGCTAGAACCAGGACTGGACATTGAGATCTGGCCATTATGAGAGAAAAAATTCACAATGTTAAATTTCATACAGTTGCATTTTCACTGGTTAACAGAATATTTAAGAAAATATCACAGCAGTAATCATGGATACTCTTGAGAAATTCCTGGACCACATGGACCATTAGCCTGCATGTAAATTATAAATTTTTATTTCTCATTATTACCAGTGTGCATTGCAGTATTTAATCATTCATATCATGATACAATACCTTCTCATTCCAAAATGCTATTTTTAAATATACCAAAGACCTTATCATTCGTAGAGAGGAGGTGGTTTCTTTTTTTTTTCCTTTAAAAGGGTTGACATTTACTTCATTTCAGAAAAAAAGAAGAGCTCATAGGGGCATGCAGTAATACTAAGGGCAGAGAAAGAGAGTGATAAAGGGGTAGTATATTCTTCTAGTGAAAAGATAAGTATCATTAACTTTAGAAGGTAAAACGGGGGGGGGGTTAGTGCCTGGAGGAGAACAGTTTGCAATGATGAAGCAGCAGTATAGGCAGAGGCCTGAGACATTGCAGAGGAAATGTAAAGGATATGAGTGTGCATTAGACCACCTGCAGTGAACAGTGTTCTGTGAAATAGGAAGAGAGCAATATCTTTCTGGGCCTGAAGCTGGGACAGTTTTACATAATCACTGAGCCAAATCCTGAAATTCTTAATGACTTTTCAAGGAAAGGAACAAAACCAGGCTTGCTCTTAAGCCAGGTAGGAAAGACAACTTAAGATAAAGCCAAGCCTGAGAAGGTAAGGTCAGAAGGCAAGGTCAGTTTACAGCTGCTATCATACCAGGAAAGAAAAAGAAAAGAGGAGACAGAAAAGGTAAAAAAAAAGAAAAAGGAAAGAAGAGAAAGAGAAAGAGAAAAGAAAGAAAAAGAAAAAAGAAAAAAGAGAAAGAAAAAGAAAAAGAAAAGAAAAAGAAAAAGAAAAAGGAAAAGGAAAAGGAAAAGAAAAAGAAAAGAAAAAGAAAAAGAAAAAGAAAAAGAAAAAGAAAAAGAAAAAGAAAAAGAAAAAGAAAAAGAAAAAGGAAAAGGAAAAGAAAAAGAAAAAGAAAAAGAAAAAGAGAAAAAGAAAAAGAAAAAGAAAAAGAAAAAGAAAAAGAAAAAGAAAAAGAAAAAGAAAAAGAAAAAGAAAAAGAAAAAGAAAAAAAGATCCCTCCACTACAAAACCAAAACCCCACCACTGTAATAGACGTATGAAATTGACTTTCCCTTTAAGTTTTATTACTAGAAGCATACTCAGAAAATGATATAGTGTGATTATCTTCCTCAGGAAAAAAAATTAAATGTTTGATCTTCCAATAGCATACCTGTACATACTTCAGGATACTGGAATCTATTTAGGTTGACCTCCTATCAGTTCCCCTTCATTCATATATCCATGTTAAAACCTACAGTGGGATCTGCAGTGAAATCCCATTATCCTTGGGTAGTCAAAAGCAGTTGCACTTCTGAACTAAAGCTCAGCGCTTCCTACATAATTAAGTAGTGTAAAACACCGAAAATAGCTTAGATATTAATGTCAGTTAACCATCTGAACATTAGTTCTCAGGGAAATTAGAGCAGCTAGACAGGTGAAAACCTCCTCAAACACATAATTCAAAGGCTATCATGAAGGAAGAAGGTTAGAGGTATTGTTTCTTTGTAGATAGAGCATTTGAGAAATCCACGCTATAATCATGAGTCCATTTCTGGCATCTCTTCTACAAAAACGAAGTTGAAAATACTGAATATCATTCAGGTGAGAGCTATCAGAGTGATTCAGTCTAGAAAACCTTCAGCGGAGAAAGAGAGTAAAGAAACTCAACACATTTCATTGCTTTTCCAGAAGAGTAAAAGAGATCTTGATCAAGACTCAAAAGTACAAAGAAGAGGCTTCTGATAGCAGGTCACACCTGAGAAAGATACCACCATGAACCAACTAGGAGATAATACAAGAACGTAAAGAAGAGGCAGATTGTTTAATTGTTAGACATACTGACTCATGAAGTTAATACGTTGTCTTTCCTTTAATATCTTTTAATCAAACCTGTGCATCTTTGTAAATTAAAAATTACATTATAAACTACATGCCAAAATTACTTGCTGAACTTCTGCTGGGGACTCATAGGACGACTCCCATGGAGTTCATTATTAAGATTTCATCTCTTCACAAGGATATGAAGATATGAACTTTACTATTTCTTTTTCTCTATTGATTTAACCTTCCTCTCATTTTTGGGGTGCAACATGGTCGTCACTGACTTCATAGAATCATAGACCAGTGCGGGTTAGGAAGAACCTTGAAAGATGATTTCATCCAATCTTTTGTGGCAAAGTAAGCCTAGATGATGGACTCATCTAGTTCCTCAGGGATGAGGACTCCACCACATCCCTGAAAAGGTTGCTCCAGTAATTGTTTATTCTCACTGTAAAAATTTCTTTCTTATATTGAGATGAAACCTTTCCCAGTGGAACTTGTACCTGTTAATGACTTGATGAACATGACAATTTAACACTATATCACAATTGTCCTGAAAACCTTAGGGACAGATGGCTTTATGCCTATGGGAGTCAAGCATGTCCCTTTCATATTTACATAATCCTAGAAGCCTCTCTTGAGTCTGTAGGTGAAAAATTGCACTTGGACAATTTCCCCCTGTAAGGGATCTTCAGGAACAAAGTAATTAATTTGCTCTATTTAATATGAAAATTTCAAAAGGTATGAATGCCATCTTCTTCCTCATTTCACAGCTGAAGGACTTGGATAATGACTTGGGACACTACCTCCTCATCCAAGTCTCTCCTCAGGACTGAACTTATCTTACAGGCCTATTTGATTGAGAGAAAAACAAGTACTTCTAAGACTTGACTTTTCCACCATGTTAATGTAGTCTCTTGGACTTTGAGGCCGAGATTGTATCTTCATATATGCTTGACATAGCGGAACTAATTCTGTCCTACCAAATAGTACATAGAATGTACACATGTACACAAGGGGATGTTTTAGGCCAGGAATCTACTGTTTGAAAAGAACTTTGTGCCATAAACATCTGAGGACGTGATTCTGTTTAAGACAGTTCTTATTCTTGAATTGCATATACCAGTCAGAAATGATTAACGGAGTAATACAAAAAAGCACAATAAGCAACTTCAAAAAATTACTAAGGAGGTAAAAACAGCTATATTTTTCATAGTGTATAGGTATGAAAGGTAGGAAGGTCCATTATGTCCATCTAGTCTGCCCAGACATGCAATATGTGCCAAAGACATATCACCCAGTAATTCCTGCATCAATTCTTTACAGACAGTTCCAGCCTAAGAGAGATGCTGATAAAGGATGAGATTACAAAACATTTGGGGATGTATAAATCAGTCAGCATGAAATCATAAAGGTGGCAGTTAAATTCTAAGCAAGTTAGTAAGAGGTGCAAGAATGCAGAATCAATGATCATGATTTATCTGAGTTGCAGAAAAGGACTAGAGACTGTTCCATGCAGCAATTGATTGGATAGGAAAAAAAAAAGAAAAAGAGAAAATGAAGTTCAGATGAGACAAAGAAAATTCAAAAGCGAGATGTGAACAGACTCTGCAGTTGGAACATTTCTGTTTGCCTTACTTATAATGTCTAAGGATATTAAAAACTGGATTTTCAAAAGAATGTAAAGAAATGAGTGTCCACGCCCCTTTGAATGTAATGGCTTTGGACAATTTTTTCACTAATGTTTCATGGGAAAGCCTGCTTCAAGGATAGATAGATGCCACAAGCTGCCTAAGACAGCAACTGATTTAAAAGCAGTAAGAACCATAAAGCTTTATTAAGAAAGGTGCCTAAGACATATTGTCCTGGACAAAGTAGAATTTTTTTTATTGACTTTGCTTCAAGAATGTATTCTATTACTGATTCTTTCACTGGGAACAGGAAGTTGGGTGCATTTTGGAAGCAGAAGAAAGTAATCTCAATAATTACATTCAATACAATAAAAACCTGAAAAGTATTTCGTTTTAGTAAAATCAGTCTTAAAGTTACTAAATAATTTTGTGGTATATCTCAGTACCTGACGGGAGAGTGTCTCAGCTTGTGACAATGTGCTAATAGAAGGAATGTTGCAGCCATCAAAGGTGTTTCTTCTTGTACTTATCCTGTCCCGTTCATTTTGTACAGCTGGAAAAGAATAATCATCTCATTTACTGACTTGTAAAAGCTGACACACAGTATAATTTCAGAAGTTTACCGTATTTCAGAAGATAACTGTAAGAACTGAAAGGTCTGACATTCAAAGAGGATGATCTGCTTTTAGCTCTGAGTAATGAGGAAGAATGACAATACATGTTTATGGTCTCTATCTGTATATTACTTGCCTGCAAAAAGTATGTGTAACTAATTATAGATAGATACTGAATTATCATCACTTTTTTCAGTGGTTTTATTACTATAAAACCTCTTTCTTCTTTTGAACCTGAAGACATGTTCTAACTTTATTTCAACCAATTTAATAAGTAAAGTAGTTTTTATCATAATGGTAGAAATGGACATCTCCAAACTGTCAAAGAGGTCAAGAGATACAGCACCACCACTGAAAAAATATCTCAGTCAGAGGAAGTATGAAAGCCCTCCTCCTGCTCTGCTGTGGGAAATTCTGAAAGAGGAATAAATCATGAACTTAACCTAACAGTAAGATAATTCTGAAACTTAAATCTCATGCTCCTCCTCAGTGACAGTACATTCCTAGCCAGTTTATTGAATATTAACTCAGTTAAAAGGTTTCAGGACAGTAAGTTTTGTCTAATAGGGTCCAAAGAAAGGCATTTGAAAGGGCTTAGGATAAGGAATCCTTACTCAGCACACGCAAGACTTATGAAGCAACAGGGCATACTTTTGAACTGAAGGAAAAAGAAAAAATAAAACTATCAGTCAGATATTTCTAAAAACGAAATAATGTCCAAGGTTAGGTCAAGGAAAAAAGAAAAGGAGAAAAAAAAGAATTATGCTGATCAAAATCTTTTTATTGCACAAGGAATCTCATAATTTTTTAAGAATAGCAGTTTTATTTCCAAAGATAAGTTTGCTATTTTATGGGAAACAATCTGCATTATAGAATTTAGGAGCAGTAAGAGATGCTTCAATAAAAAAAAAATAAAATATTCTATGCACTGAATAGTTTCAGAGTTTATCTGAACAATGCACATAGTTTATTCCAGAGGTGTACTAACTTTTTGCAAGGACACTCACTGATGGGTCTTTTATTAAGGTCACAGTAAGAAATTTTGTGTGGTGATAAACACAAAGTGCTATATGTTCGTATAGACAGGAGACAAAAACCATAACCTCTTGTAAAAGAATGCCAAAACATCCACTGAATTTCAGCAGCGTAAGTGCTACATAGATAATTAAAATAATGTCAGCACTGATTAGTATTGTAAAAATAGTAAGGTATTCTGACAATCAGTAGTGAAAGTCACTGGTGGAGCACACTGAGAACCATAGGTGGACGTTTCAATTTTCTCCTACTTATACATAATTTTGGATTATTAGACTAGACTGTCTGTCTGGTTAAAGCCTTTCTGTCAATTCAGGCTAAAATTGCCTTAAACAGAAATTATATGAGGAAGGTGGAATATTTGCTTAAAGAGGTCTTGTATAGCTTTCACCAACTGAAGCCTTTCTTACTTTTTCTTGCAGAAAAGAAAGATTTGCTAGAAACAAGAGGAGAAACAATCATAGAGACTATACTACACTTCTTACACTATGAAACATGCTCCGACCATGTGAAAAGGTATGTAACAACACACAAGCAGTTCAGTGTTTTGAATTATTTTAGCACTTCGAAGCCTCGAATAAACATGGCTTGGATGCAACAAAAAAATGAAAGTTTTAGAGGTAGTGGGACCAAAGTAGGGCAGAACAGTGTAAATTAGGTTGAAAGTTTTATGCCACGCACTGGGCTGCATTAGCATCTTAAAGGAAATGACCATTTCTCTGTTTTGGGCTCCTCGGCACATGAAAGATTCTGGCAAACTAGGCAGTGTCCAGAGGAGGGCTATGGAGACATAACCCACAAAGTGCACACGGTGAAGCAGAGCCTATGTGGAAAAGAGAGGACCAACATGGAGGTGGGGTTCTTCATTTCTGTACAGAAAATGGAGCCAGATTCTTTTCAAATCCATAGTGAAAGGACAAGAGACAATGGACACTACCCTAATTGCAGTAAGACATATTCCAATTAGTTAGAAATTAAAAACTCTTCCCAATGAGGCTGGTCAAGCACTGAAAGAACTTGCCAAGAAAGGCTGTCACATCTCCCCTCTCAGGGACTGTGTAAATCTGTCTGGACAGAGTCCCAAGCAACCTGACTGAACCTAGACACTAGCCTTGCTTTAAATGGGCATCTGAACTAGATGAATTCCAGATGTCCCTTCTGAGATAAATTTCTTAAATTCCAGGTTCTAAAAGTCTGTAAAGCTCTGCTTTTTGCAAAAGTTTTAGGGCAGCTGTGGACACACAGGTCTCTCCCTTTCTTCACATCAGATTGATAATATATATACAATATGTTACCGATTTTAATGACTCAAATTCCAAAGGTTAAAGTTTGTTAAAGGAGATCCATAAGAGCTAGCAAACCTATTTCATTCATACACTGTGTAACACTGTTTAGAATATCCCCATCCAGCTTCAAAAAGAAAAATCTATTTTATCTCATATCAATAACGTGATCACTAGCAAAGCAGTACTACAGGATAGATACTTAAGAGCCTAAAGAAACAGCTTGCTTTATCTTACGAAAGCTATGTAAAGACTAAAATAATGATAGCCTTGTTACTGTACAGGAGAACTGAGCACTCACATTTCAGACTGGCCTTCAGGCAGATACACCATGCTCCAAACGAAACAGGTAGCAAAATTGTGATGAACCACTTTTTAGTGCGCATTTGAAACAGAACAGGACATCTTTTGCTTCTACATCATAATTGTCAGTGAAGCAACAGCCCCAACAGCAATACTCCTCTGATATTATCACTGCCCTTCTTTCCCTATCACTCTGCTCCTGTGGTCATCTGGTCCTTCCACTTCGACAGGAGGATCACTGTGACTCACATTTCTCATCCCTGTCAGTGAGATGCACAAGTAACATTTTTCCCATTTTAAGCCTTAAAGAAATTAGATTTTTCTTTTAATTAATGTGGAGACTCCACTGACAGCTACCACTAGTCTTCTCACCACTATTATTTCACTCAACTTCACAGTCCTTCCTCTGGCTTAAATGTTTCTTACATTTAAATTTAATGGAAGAACCGGTAAATTGGCACTGTCATTACTCAGGGTAGAAAAAAAATGCCAGATAGAGATATCATGAAAAATTAAAACTAAAGTCTCATAGTTTGAACTTTTCCAGCATATGGCTCAATATATACAAATCAATGAATTCTGGTGCCAGGATTCATGGATTGAATACTTGCAAATTCACTTTGAATCCATGGACTTGCTTATGATCAAAATGCTAGAACTGCTTACCCACCTGAAAATTAGAAGATTTATATTTTACCTCAATATAAAAGCATTTCTCCATCATGAAGGCATTATAGCAGACTTTCCATTGAATTATTCTGTTGGAGTTTTTTAGAATTTTTATTATATTTTAAAACTCACTCAGAATTTTTTTCTTTGTATATCAAATAGTAAATGACTCCATTACCTTCTTTTTTCATTCCTGCTCGAAAACACTTTTTTAAACGACAATATCTGCATTGATTCCTTTTGTCCTTGTCAACGATACATTGTCGGTTGAATCTACCAGAGACAAGAAAAGGGAAATGTATATAGCATTAATAAAGCAGCACTCTGATTACAAAGAAGAAAACCAACTAATCTGGCCTGTAAGAATAATGTCTATAACCAGATTTCTTTCTTCAGTTGTTTGGATTATTTTTCTTTATTAATCAGTTTTGAGAGGTGCTCCATTTCCAGGAATATATATGTGTGCCTAGACAAATATATGCATTGGAACTGGCAAGTGTGGAAAATTTCAGACTTAGGTGCATCATTTACACCTCAACTGATTTGTAAGATATGTCAGTAACTGGCTTCGTCAAATGGCAGTGACAAAACAAACGAAGAAAAGCTACAAAAAGTAAATGGAAAGGCCAATCAAGGAAATTGCAAATGTTGCTGGCATTGAGGAGCCCCTCAGCTGTTAAACCATTACCCTCAGCTGGCAACCTTTACTCCCTATGGAGATACCAATGAACAAACTACATGTTGTATCGTTACAAGTGGTAACCTAAAGAGGAAATGAGAGGAACATTTTCTACCAACACAATGAAACAAAGACATGAGGAAACACACAGAGTATGACACTGCAGGAAGGCTTATCCAGGCTTTTATGTACATCTACAGGTGTGCCTAAAGAGAACGCACATGAGCCCTCTTCCCCTCTCCCTGTTTAGGTCTGCCTTTTTTTTTGATCTGCATGTATTTGTTAGATAAACAGACCTAGGTTTTGCAGAGCTCTTCCTGAAATCACTAATGTCAGCTCTTGCCACACCACTTTAGGGGTATGTCTATGCTATATCACTGTGCTATGACTGTAAAGGAGAGATTTCCTTTTAAGAGTATTGTGCAATCAAGGAAGACTGTAACAAATGTTTCTACTAAAAAGGCATTTTTACAAAAGGCTTTCTCCTCCTTGTGCCCCATGAAGTGGCCCAAGGAGACAGGGGACAGGAGATGTGGTCAGTTCATCATATGTTGTCTCTGCTGTTGCTTCCTCCTCAAGGAGAGGACTCCTCACACTCTTCCCCTGCTCCAGCATAAGTTCCCTCCCAACAGATACAATTGTCCACAAACTTCTCTGATATGAGCTGCAGTTCTTCATGAACTGCTCCAGCATGTTTCCTGGGTGCAGAAAACATGCTTTCCTTTCCACAGTGTGCAGTCCTTCGGGAACAGCCTGCTCCAGCATGGGTCCCCTGTGGGGTCACAAGTCCTGCCAGCAAACCTGCTCCACCATGGGCTCCTTTCTCTGTGGGGCCACAGGTCCTACCAGGAACATGCTCCTGTGTGGTCTTCCCAACCGCGTAATAACTTTCTTTCGGGCATCCATATTCTCCAGCAGGGAGTTCTCCACAGGCTGCAGGTAGATATCCGTTCCCTTGTGGATTTCCATGGGCTGCAGGGGCGCAGCTGCCTCACCATGGTCTTCACCACGGGCTGCAGGGGAATCTCTGCTCCAGTGCTTGGAGCACCTCCTCCCTCTCCTTCTCCACTGAGCTTGGTGTCTGCTGAGTCATTCCTTTCACATATTCTCACTTCACTCTTCTCTGGCTGCAATTTGCTTCTGCACAATAATTATTTTTCCTTCTTAAATATGTTATCCCAGAGGCACCACCACCACTGCTGATGGGCTCATCTTTGGTCATTCTGGAGGCAGCTGGTATTGGCTTCACCAGACACAGGGGATGCTTCCAAGAGCTTCTCACAGAATCCACTCTTGTAGCCTCCTTGCTACAAAAACCTTGCCATGAAAACCCAATAGACGCCTTCAGTGATCTGTCTAAACTCACAGAGTTTTCCATGTGTTCTGTGCACAGCTTAAAACTCACCAGTTATGATCCTGTGCACGCACAAGAGTGATTTGTCAAACGTAGTGCACAGACCTGCAGTGTGATAATTAGGGCACCATTTGGAAATTAGCAGATCAGACTGACGGGGGGAAACGTTCGATCAAAAGAGCATTGTGTCACATAAACCTGGAATATGTGCAGATATGTTAGCACAGCCCTTAAAAAAAACCTCATAAATCTTAGACTTTCTATTCAGAAGCTAATTTCCTAAGAAAATAATTCTTAGAAAACAGTTAAGATATACGATTTTCATATTGCAGTGAAAATATGAGCAGTTTTCATTTTTCTTTTTTTTCTTTCCAGGAGATGACCTTTGTAATCTTAAATAAAAGATCAATAATATCAACTGATATCTGAAAGATAGTATCTGGAATGTGTAATATCAAGTAGCATCCCTTAAGAAAAAGCTGGAAAGACCCTGACAAAGTTCTGAAAAAGTCTAAATATAATTTTTGCTTAAATTCATTATTTTAGTGCCTCTAGATGAACTTTTGAAATACCTGCACGAGTAGACGTGGTTTTTCCTTATGCTGCGTCTAAAAAACCCCTTGCATCCATCACAGCTGGAAGCACCGTAATGTTTTCCAGTCGCTCGGTCTCCACATATTGCACAGAGACTACTGACCCCATTGTCAGCAGCATTCATGTTGACAGCTTCTCCTGAACTGTCTGACAAGAGGGAAGAACAATATTACATAGTTATGGACAAGACTTCCACCAACCAGCACATGAACAAGCTGTACCTAAATGGAGGCGTCTTCTGTTTTTTTGTCTTTTAATTGACACTTAAGATTTATATAGCACGACCTATCTAATTACATCTGGCTCTTACTCATATGAACACTTTCAAAGTGATAGAGATGTTAACAAAATTAATAAAGTTCATACCAACAAATAATTGCATTCTAAACTCTTTCCAACTGAAGGATTAAAAATTAAAGTCTAATTTTGCATGTATAATTACATATATATTCCTACTAACATGAAGAGGAACTTTGGCATAAAACAGTGATGACTCTCATGTATCACTTCTCATATGAGCTGGCAATAACTGGCAACTCACACAAAGGTTTGGGACATTAAACAAACAAACAAACAAAAGGTTTTGCACAATATTTAATTTAAAAAAAAGAAAACAAAAGGCTTGCTAAGAGGACTGTCTAAGTATTATTTCCTTGAAGATATTTTTGACAGGAACATTGCAGACAATATTGTTGCACAGAGAATATTAGCTGTGTGATTAACAATTAGTCACTGAATCTGATAAACACTACTGAAGAAATTCACCTGAAATCAAAACACACATATTTATTCAGACATGTTAAAAGAAACAATTGCAAAATAGCTTTTTCTGTTTTGTTTCTGATTTAAATGAAAGGAAAACTCTTTGAAATAGGCCTAAGCATTTGTAGTTTTGTCCAGGAGAGGAAACTGTGCCACATTAATTAGTTATTCAAACATGGATTCAAAAGTCGAGTACATGAACTCATGAACAGCAAACAGGTTGAACAGTAAAACTGTTAACAATGATACATAATATTATTCCTATTGTATAGATCCAACTGAAATGTGCAACACAAATATAAATTTTTCATTGCGTCCTGTAGCGTTTACAATTTAAACTGAGTTCTTCAGACAAAGAAACAACCTTTTTGTATTGATTTGCTTTACAGAGCTGTAATTGATAGGAATTATATTAAAAATCGATTAAATAAAATGAAATCTTAAAAGCAAGAATTCAGTTCTGTAAAAATTTTATTTTAAAATTAGGTTTGTCATGACTGGAAAATTATTTTCATAAATGGGTTATAAAATTATTCTAAAAAATACAAAACCATTCTTTTGGAATCTGTAATGTTGCATGATACAGCAGAATAATTAATAATACAATATTTAAATGTAATGATGAAATATTTTACAGCAACGTAAGTTGTGTGTATATATATATAAGGACATACTTATTTTCCTAGCTATTATTCTGAAACAAAATATCTGGGAAATTAACCCGATGTTGAAAAGTTCTTTGATTTCAACAGAACTGAAAAATCTCCCTGAACGTGGCTTGTTAAACTCGTCTGAATGTTCCTAATTAATTTAGACAACTAGAAAAGATACATAGGAAGGTTCATAAGAGGTAGTTTTCAGTTCCAGACTAGCACTGAAACAAGACAATGTTTTAATAAATTCTATAATAAAATACTTAAGCTAAACTCAAACTCTAAACAGAAAAAGGTTACACCTTATAATTAATAACTATCAAGCTAATCACTTACAGTGAATAATTTAACCGGCTCTATCACCAACACATAATGCAACCAAGCACAACCTCCCTAATCTGCTTTCCCATTTTATTTAACATTAACAGATCCAAAAGGGTACTACTCAGCAAAAACACAAATGACCAATGAAAACACCTATATTAGAAAAAAAAAAAAATCATCTAAAAGTTTTATAATCATTGTTGATAGCTCCAAAATCACTTAGGGCATAAAGGTCTGTTTTTCCATCCTAAATCAATAACCTAGTCTACCTTTCTGTTTACTAAACTTGCTGTAATGTAACATCAGAAATTCAGATAAAACTTCAAGCCCAACAACAAAAACTTAATTAGGTTCTATGGAAATGTAGGTGCTAGATAATTTTCCTGCAAATGATTAGATACCAGTTCTGCCTTTTAAAAATACATATACTTTATGATACGATAGACCAACTTTTTTATTATATAGAAGATTTGGAAGGCCATTTTTGAGTAGTTTAACTTGCCTAATACTTTTCTTCACTTCAATTGACTGACATTTCTTTTTTTTTTTTTTGGTCATTATTCAATGATGGCAGAATGAAATGGTGTGCTTCCTATTTCAAGCATAAATTATTGGTACAACTTCTCAAAACCTGCAATTAAAAATTCTACCTAAAGTTGAAGTGCTACATTTGCTAAATGTAAATAGTTTTTCTCAGCTAAACATCAGCCTCTATAAAACCAATGTGATTTTTTTTTAAAATCACTCTAGTTCATATATACACTTACCTAGGAAGGCTAGATTAACACTTAAGTAAATAAAATATAAATAAAATATTAGTCTAACAATTAGAAACTAGGCATCAAGAAACAGTAGCTAATTTTTTTCACAAACCTCTGGACAATTTTGTCCTTTCCTTCTGAAAGCTGTATACCAAATATACTTCCATGTCCAAACTGTCAGTACTAGTTATTCATTTGTTGTACAGTAAATAAAACAACTGCTGAATTCACCATTTTCTTCCTTTGATTAACTGACTGGTGACAGTACAGTTCATCTACTTTATTACATATAACCTCTCTTTTATTTTCCTTAAAGAATTATAATGTTACTAACTTAAAGTTAGTGATGAAGTGTAAAAGAGCAGATTTGTAGTTTGAAAACAACCCCCAAATGCTCCATTAATTAAACATTTAACTAGCACCTTATAGCATTACTAAACTTCACTTTATCTATCAACTGGCTTGATTTTGCCTCACGGAGGAGAACTCACCATTGCCATTATACAGAATCTGCATAGTTTCGAACTCCAGTGCCGTATACGTCGGATCTAAAACTTCACTGTAGTTTGCCATTTCCATGTCTAGTACTGGTTCTGAGAGCCTCATCATTGAATGCAAAAACAGTGAAAAAGCTGCTCAAATGTACAACCTTCCCATTCTGTTTCACAGTGATTGATAATCCAAAGTTAACTATAACTGTATCACTTACGTGCAGCAATGGGAGGAGCTGTAAAACTGCTTCTGCATGCTGTATTTCACCTGGGTATTTTTTTTCTTTTATGATACAGTGCAACCCTTCTGATAATCTTGGAATGTTTTATGAAATAACCTTATCAGGAGCTGTATTGGTTCCAGTTCTTGCATGAACCCAAGGACGTGCAGGAAGCTTCCTGTCTCTTATGCCCTGCTACATATTTTGTTGTCAATGTGTGGAACAAACAGTTCTAAACAAACTGCTCTGGTTGTTCTACGCAGAGACTGTAGGTTCCTACGCCATTTTGCTCTCTTCAGAACAATAAGGAAATGTGATATGATTATGGACTATCTCAAAACTATACCCAAATCATCCAACCTCATATTTTAAAAGACAGCTGTAAAACCTCCTACTTTTACAGCTGTTAACATTCTTTCACAGCAGTGATGAGCTGGCTTTTTAGGCACCCTTAAGCAAGGCCTCAAGCCACACAAGGCCTGCAGCAAGGCCAGCTCATAAATCCCCTCCATCACACACTGTGCTGCTGCAATGGCTCTAGGCACTGGACCCTGCAGTGATGGCAGCATGATGTTTTCAAGTACCATCTAGATGCATAAGGGAAAAAAAAAATATTATTCACCTTCTCTGTAAAGAAGAATTCTGGGGAGGTCCACAGTTCATCAGTTGGTAGACATGGTGTGTACAAACCTAGTTAAAAACCCTCCTGTAAAGCTGCTTGAATATGTGCCAAATATAGAGCTGAACAGCTGAATTTCACTTGCTAATCTGGTGTTTTTAAATGTTTGATAGCAGAATTTGAAATGTTATTATTTCTCAATAAATTCTTTACAGAAAACTACCCTTTATACCGCTGAAAAACAGTTACATTAAAGATTGCACATATGGGAAAACTTCCCAGGTCATGTCTAATTAATGAGAGCCAGTAACTGTACATACAGCATTGAAATGCTTATTTGAATGGAAAAGAGTGTCTGCAGTTGTTGTTCAGTAAAAATAGCTGTAAAAGAACTCCTTGATATTAAAAAAAAAAAAAAGGCAATTCATGACAGACAGGTTACCAATGAAAAAGGAAAATTTACAGGAAAAGACCTGGCAACAATCCTTTCAAGATTCATCCTTCTAATTTCCACATGCCCACAGTTACCTGAGAGGCACAAATCATCCCTTCTCCATGGGGACACACAGATTCAGTCTCAGGTCAGTTCTCCTCCTGACTCCAGCAGAGTCTAGTGACATAATTATGACAACGGGATTCTTGTATAAATCACAGAGCTATCCCTAAACCAAAGCCTATTTACAATTGTGTTACTGCTTGAACAAATTCTCTGCAGATTTTGGAGGGTCTCCACAGGAGCTTTCCTTTTCACCCTGCTGTTGCTCCTTTTCCTTTAAACTATTCATTCATTGTAATATTTAATGAGATATCAAAAAAACTGTAGAAGTTATTGCTCAAAAAGGGCAAACCTAAAATGTTCTCCCTTCATAAGAATAGTGTGTTTGTTAATAACCAATGTGACTACAAATGCTTCCTATACATGACAAAAGACAAATAGTACAAAAAATGGGAATTTTTTAAAGATATTTAAGGATATGACTGAAATGTTAGAATATTTTATGCCTCCAATCATGGAAAAAAATTTACTCAGAAAGTATCATTGCACAGTACTAGAAGTGTACAAGGTTTCACTGTTTTTAACCATACCTAACACTTTTTCTTAAAGAAGTATATTAAATTAAGATTGATGAAAAGTTATTTGCTGACAGTCAATATTTGTTTAGGAAATCACTGTAGTTTCTTCATGAGATGGAACAGTTTCATATTACCTGATGGCTCAGTTTGAAAAGTTTCTTCTGAAGCAGAATTTGTTGTATTTGCTACAACAATCTGTTCTATTCATATAGGATTTGCTACAATACTAATTACTGGTTACATGACAAAATATTCATTGCATTAACATGCTGATTAACAAAATATAAAAAGGTTTACATATTAACTAGAATTATCTTTTGTTCCTTAGTGCATATTTTTAATAAGATTTTCTATAAATAATCTCTGGCTTTTTAATACCAAAACTGTATGCTTACAAACACATCTAATGCATATTTTTATTTCAAAACTCCAGTCCTGAAAACAGTCTGGCACATAAGCTAATTTAAAGTAAGGGAATGAATGGAAGATGGAAGATATCATGTATGACATGATCAAATCCTGCTATTCCCTCTGCTGTTAGTAGAACTTCTTCAGTGCTGCCAAAACAGGTCCCTTAGTGACTGCTAAAGAGAGGGAATGAATTGACCCTTCATACTTCTGTCATATAAAAACTCATTTCAATTGATTTTTTAATATGGAAAAATGTACGCTGTAGGAAAGACATTCTTTATACTATTTTTTTCATGTTTTGCTAAGGAAACTTACAGTCAAATCTTGCACTCATAAAAATCTGCTTTCTGGGGGATTTTTAGCATCATGAAGTACATCATGAACAATTAATGTACACTAAATCACTACGGTAAAATATTAATATGTTTTCTTTCAGCCTTAGGTGGATTAGAATGCAGTCCTGGAATTAGAGCGGTTGATGAGAGAACCTAATGATGAACAGCTTTTGGTCCTGTGTCAGTCCAAGTTTTACAATGTTCACTAGTATTTAGATCCCCACTCAGCAGATTTCTTTTCATACTGTACACCTGAGCTGTTTTTCAAATTCTGAATGACACTGCAGTTTGTAGCATGAGATGTTCTAAGTCAAGTCATCTACTACTGACAGCCAAGAAGTATCAGCCTAAGGTAAGAAAAAGTTTTAAAACTGTGTAATTAGTCAAACTGAGAGACACTTCCTTGAGATAATGTAAATTTGAGTACAAAATGATTTCTCAAAATAAATTTTGCAATAATTGTGAAGAAAGAGAAAGCTACACAGTAATGGTATTGTTCATATGGTTTTGTTGCTTTTTTTCTTTAAATCTGATGACCTCAGGATCACATACAGAAAGCATTCCTATCTTATCTTTAAGACTATTAACTCTGTTAATTGTCCAGCTCTCTATATTAAATGTAATCATTCTTTCTGACTGTGGCATAAAATAGAGCACAAGCTAATAAAAGCAAGGTTATTTCCATAAAACTCTTCCTGAAAATAAAAACAAATCTCAAACTACTATCACTACTGAAACAGTTAGGGGTTTCTTCTTTTGTTTGTTTTTTTTTAAAGGAGCAATATGTCCTTTTTTCTTTCCAGCTTAGTAAGCAATGTAGATCCCCAGAATAAAGCCTTAATTTAAAGGGGTTTTGTTTCCCATGTATTCTGAGTAAGGAACACATCTTCACAGTATTTCCTAGTCTGCAAGCACAGTGAGTTGTGGTGCACATACTTGGAAGACATCCTATTTTTGTCAATAACCTGGCATATTTATCCAGCATGTTGATAAAACACACATTTTGATCTGTTTCCCCTTTTACCTGATGGCACACGTGGGACAGGGTATGCGGGGAGTCTGTACTAACCAAACCTAATGAAACCATATGAGTTGAGCCAGAATGTCTCCTTACTACAGCAAAATCGGACAAAGATCTCCAAGTCAGAGAGTTTATTTGCCAAAAGCTTGCTACACAAGAAGCAGTGTGCAAATTTCAGCACACTTGTGGGCAATCTCATCTTTGGCTTACAAAGATACACACCCTCGTAATACCAGACACTGAGCTTCCCTCTCCTGTAACACACCCTCAGTGCCAGGGAGAACGCTGCCAGTCACCATCACATCAGCCCTGCTGACACCCACCTCCAAGTATTTCATAAATGGCCCATGAGTAATGACTCGGAAATGTTTGCTTGTATTCTAAAACATATAAAATTATGACGTGTTTGCCATGGAAAGATTTGCAACACTGTGGCATTGCTTTATCTGACAGAGATTGCTGGGTTTTTGTTTTTTAAATAAATAAAAATGTTAGAGCCGGATCAGATCTAAAAATCAGTGATAAAGCACAAATGTGTATTGAAGTTTAAATGTGTATTCCCAAGCTGCTTGGAAAAGAAATAGCCTTTTGTGCTGAAGACCTAAGTAACATGATGGAAACATGGCTACAAGTCTTCTACAACTCTAAAATACTACAGCAAGTCTTTTAAAGTTCTCACATCCCTTTTCCCCCCCGTCCAAAAAGTTCATAGCCAAACAAGGACAAAGTTGCTTTTGAGTTGGTTAACGCTGATAGATTTTTCAGAACAATTTGTGAATCATGAGAGTAAATGCATAGCACAACAACTGCTCCCACTAAGGTGACCAAAGGCATCATCTCACACTCACTTCTCAAACCCAGTACCAACTATCAGATTTAATGAGTATATTTATGGCATTTAGATGCTTCTGTGCCTTTTCATCTTGCATCTTTCTTTTTGACTTTGTCCTAAAAAATATAGTGGTTAAATAAAAAAACAGAAAAGTAAAGCCAGTACCAGAACTGAATAACAGGTTTTCACAGGACACTTATTAGGCAATGGGTAAGATTAGCTTCAACAAATCATGCCAGTTGAAACCTAACTACAGATCTTTGTCGGAAATCTAACTACAGATCTTTGTCGGAAATCTAGGCTAAGCCTGTTTTCATTACACACATTTTTAGACACTTAGACCACCCCAGGCTTTCCTCAAAATGGAGATTCTTGCACATATTGAATTTTTCATTTAAATTGGTCATTCATTATGTTGAGTTCCACTCTATCATACAGCATACATAGTTTTAATATGTTATGATGAGGGTTGGTTTTAGTCTTTTTCATTTTGGCATAACAAGGAACAGACAATTATTGTGAGGTCTGAATTGTCTTTATGTTTTTTACTTCAAAAATGATTTGTCATTCAGAACAACTGGCTACAACTTCAACAGTCATGAATGTGAACAAACATAGACAACAAAGAACATACCTGGCTTCTGACTTGTCAAACACTATGGACTCATAAGGCACA